GCCGAGAAATAAATTCACGACCTTCAGAGATCAAGGCAAACGGATGGACCACTTCGCCATGGAGACTGCGGGTTCAAAGTAACATGATATCCTCTGTGGGCGGGTTTGGTTAGTCATATTTTTGTAGAATGTTTTGACCAATGTAAAAATACATTCCTTAATTTCAGAATTTAAATAAAACAATTATCATCATCATGTAGCAGGTCCTTTGCAGAACGTCGCTCTCAGCACAGTCTGCCTGAATGAAACTCGGTCTCTCGCCAGTTCTCCCGCCTCATGCACTTTCACACTCAAGGAGTCACTTATATCCTGTGCCCATCTTCGTGTCGGTCGGCCCCTGCCCCTCCTTCTTGGTACCATGCCTTCTGCTATATTTTTTTCCAATCCGTCGTGGCGCTTGATATGGCCAAAATATGTCAGCTTTCGAGAAAGGATGCTGTTTATTAGCCAATCTTCCTTGATGTTCAGATCTTTTAAGATGTCAATATTTCTCATCTTCTTTGTCCAAAATATTCTGAGAATCTTTCTATAGCATTTCGGCTCAAAAGCCCTTATTCTCTTTCTTAAGGACTGAGAGATAGTCCACGACTCACATCCGTGTGTAGCCACAGGGAAGATGCATGCTCTCAAAATTCTAATTTTGATCCCCTTGCTGGTGCTTAACCATAGACTTTTAAGGCTGTTTGATCTTTGCATTGCTATGGCCATCCTCCTTTCAATTTCCGTCGAACAGTCTCCATTGCTGTTTATTATAGAGCCTAGATATTCAAAGTTTGTGACATTTTCAATTTCTTTATCATTTATTGTTATTTTTGGGTGACAGCCAGTTTTAACTGTGGACATTATTTTCGTTTTGTTTAAATTCAAGAACAGATTTTGATCTTCACTGTGCTTTTGGACTGACAATTTTAAATTTGCTATTCCCTTTACGCTGTTCGAAAGGAGGACTGTGTCATCTGCGTAGCTGAGTTCCGGAATAGGGTTGCCACCAATTTTGTGCGGATCATAACTGTCACAAGTCTGGTCAAATAAAACAATACAAACGCAAAATTACAACACGTTACCTGAGATGTATAAAAATTGCGGCGGGAAAACAACAACAAGATGAGACAGTAAACAAAGAAGAAATAAAAATAATAATAAGATCAGTACCGGCAAAGCATTTCATAGAACATGAAAGAGTCAAATAGTTTGGTCATCTTTTTCAGAATGGAACAAAATCGGCCTACTTCAGAACGTAAGTAGGTCATGGTTAATAGAGGTTAGTGGACATTTTAGTTTTGTTAGTTAGTTAGTTAGTTAGTTAGTTGGGTTATCCTCATTGCACTCCGGACATGTCCATAGGTGCTCAGATCCTCCCCTCAGTATGAACCCCAACGTCCGATGGCTAATAGTACCAGTTCTATGTTGATTAACAAGTCTTCTGGCGTAACTGGTGTGCGTCTCGTTTTTTGCTGTGCCGATCTTAATTCCCAAGTCTGCCATTCTGGCGAGTGATGTGGATTCACTGCCACCAAAGTCTTCTATCCTTCCCATTTCTCTGAGGGCATTGATAATATCAGCATGATCCATAGGCTGACCGTCGGTAGTGATAGCGGATCCAGCCAACCTGTCAGCTCTTTCATTTCCATCGACGCCTGCGTGTCCCGGAACCAAAAATAAAGGTGACTCCACGGACAGTGGACTTCTGTAATGATTCAAGCCATTGTCTTCGCACTGAACCTGCCTGAACCCTCCGGATCATACTCATTGAATCACTGAGTATACACACGCGGGTGTATTTTTGTGTTTCAAGCCAGGCAAGCGCTTGTGTCACTGCCATCACCTCCATCGTCATGCTGCTGGTTGTCATGGAGAAGGCGCCGTTGGCTTCTTTGACTGTTCTGCCCGCTGAGCGTGCTGTAAATGCCCATGCGCTTCTTCTTTGGCGTATAACGGATCCGTCTGTATAGATTATTGCATCTGCTTCGTCTGAATTTTCACCGATGAGAGCGTTGACCTCTGCATTAACAGCAACAGGATTTCTCTTCTCTACATCGCCTGTTGAGTGTGACAATACAGGAAAATGTACAAATAAACGCCTGAGGCACAGGTATCCATTCTGCACCAGGTATGATGTCGGTTAGGCTGCATATTTGCCTAATAACATCTTCTGCCCGACCTAGCCACGATTTCCCCCTCTTCAGTCTATCGCCCTTTTCACTAAAAAGCGCTTGATGCAGTGGGTGTTTCTTATCAGCACATATTTTGAGATATGCCCGAGCCCTCCACATCCTGATCCTTTGGTTCATTGTTGGAAAGTCAAGTAGATACCTCATTGCTCCACAGGATGTGTCTCTAGTACATCCCAAAATAATGCGCATGGCTTCATTTTGCACCTTTTCGAGTCGTTTTTAGTTTTTAGTTTTGTATCTTTTTGAAAGATACCCACCAAGTTTCGAAGTAGCATTTAGCCCTGTTTGGGTGACTGCACTGATTTTTTTTTAATCTATATCCAGAAATCATGTTTTTTTTTAAACCCTTTCGCTCGGTACTATGGATATCGCAACCCTTCGGCCTTGATTCCATGATAAATACCGTAAACCTGGAAGAAATGTGGCTTTTCTACCCCTGGGCGTGAACCCGGACCACAATGAGTTCGTCACCCAGTCAGGTTTAGCCAACTACGCTAGCGAACCGGGCAACTGAATGATCTTCTATCTTACCCCACCAGGACATTGCACTAGCGATAAACACCCGATGATACAAAGTGCCACCATGTGGATGAGGATCACCCGTGGAGAGGTCCCAGAAACCGCGTTCAGCAATAGACCGTATGACTGACTTTCTACCCCACCAGGACATCACACAAGCGACAAACACCCGATGACACAAAGTGCCACCATGCGGATGAGGATCGCCGTGGAGAGGCCCCAGAAACCGCGTTCAGACATCTGGCCATATTTATGGCCTGCCTATATTGCGGCCCCTGGCAAAAGCCAGAGTAGGGCTTCAATCGCAAAAATAGACCGTATTTATGGCCGGGCTATATTGCGGCCCCTGTCAAGAGCCAGAGTAGGGTTTCAAATAACGAAAAATTGCATCTCTCCAGGAGATGGCAGGATATAACTAAAAATGTTAACTTTCATGTACAAATCTACTTGCTGACCTCCTTTTGTTGCAGGGCTACTTTGAATGTCTTCGGAATGAGCTTGACCAATACGACATCGACGTGACTCTGGCGTGTCCAGGACCTGTGGTTTCAAACATATCGCTTGTCTCACTGACCGGTAAGCCAGGGGAAGTAAGTATAGGCAATTTTCCTGTTATCCTTCCTTTTGTCTAAACTGATGATGGCGATCATAGACAAACCTCCAGAATTGGCACCTGGGATGTTAGAATTGTGCATTATATATGAAAAACAATGAAAGTCAGTCAGTGGGTTATGTGCAACTAGATAGTTCACACATCAGTGCACGTCCTTCGCTGTCCCATTTAAAAACTAGTGAAACAAACGTGTCCGTCCCATCAACATCTTGAAGCTTGCGTACGCAGCTTTCAAATGTGCCAACACTAACAGTCTCACGCCAGAATTACAGCTCATTCTTGAACGGTTTGTCACAAAAGCCGGCTTTGCACCCCCAAAAAAAAAAAGCCATTCTGAGCGTAATCAGCCCTCGGGATTTTACTGCAAGCAACAACGCGCCGCGCGTACAGCAAAGAAAAAAAAATCCACACGAAATCTACGGCTAACAGTGTCCCGATCCTCCCATTTTACTTACTTCAAGTATCGTTTGCTACATTTTATTTAGCTCTAGATATTGTATTGGCCATGTCCCCTGTTCCTCATTAAGTGCCATGCCGATAAGCGTGGCAGTCGTTCTCTGTCTCACACATCTTCAAAATCACGAATCAAACCATTGTTCTCATCATATGCGCAAGTTATTAGGTAATTGTGTGTGTGTGTGTGTGTGTGTGAGTGTGTGTGTGTGTCCAGTTTGCTCCTTTCTCATCAAATTTGCCACTTATCACCTAGTTTCCGAATTTATTATTTTACAGTGTTCCTTAGAAGTCGGCTCTGTGGCTAAGTCGATGCGAACGCTTCGTAATGCCGGGATGCCAGGTTCGATCCCAGCTGCGGGCCATGTGGCTTGCGTTGGTTTCGACAGTGGTATCAAGAAAGCCAACCTTTCAGAAAGCAATGGCAAACTACTGGACGTAAATTTGCCTAGAAAAACCACAGAACAGCTAGGGGCTGTAGGGGTTGGTTCTGCAACGTCCTGTAAAGGATACGCAGTTAACCTTGTACCTAAGAAACAACAAATAGTGCTGTCTTATTTATCTAAACCGTTCAACGTTTAATTCTGGTTTCAGATAGTCAAAAAACAGTTCACGGCGTCAAACATGAGAATGGCCACCGGTCGTTGTGCCTACCTAATCTGTGTGGCTGTTGCTAATCGCCTTTATGAAGCTTGGATCTCCAGACATCCGTCTTTGGTTATCTTGTATCTCAATCAATATTTCCCAGATCTAACCAAGTGGTCAGTTTTTAAACTTCCTCTTTCTCCTTGTTTTCTTCTTCTTCTTCTTCTTCTTCTTCTTCTTCTTCTTTTTCTTTTTCTTCTTCTTCTTCTTCTTCTTCTTCTTCTTCTTCTTCTTCTTCTTCTTCTTCTTCTTCTTCTTCTTCTTCTTTTCGTCGTTCGTTCTTCTTCTTCTTCTTCTTCTTCTTCTTCTTCTTCTTCTTCTTCTTCTTCTTATTTTTCTTCTTCTTCTTCTTCTTCTTCTTTTTCTTCTTCTTCTTCTTCTTCTTCTTCTTCTTCTTCTTCTTCTTTTTCTTCTTCTTCTTCTTCTTTTTCTTCTTTTTTTTCTTCTTCTTCTTCTTCTTCTTCTTCTTCTTCTTCTTCTTCTTCTTCTTCTTCTTCTTCTTCTTCTTCTTCTTCTTCTTCTTCTTCTTCTTCTTCTTTTTCTTCTTCTTCTTCTTCTCTCCTCCTCCTCCTCCTTCACCTTCTCTATTTTCCATCTACTCTTCTTCTTGCTCCAGTTATTGACATAAATTTAGGTTAAGCCTCATTCCACACAAACGCCGCCTCTTCCAGTAACAGCTCATTGTCATCATCATTATCAGGTACCTTGCTGACTGGCGTGGGCGATCATGCCTCTCCACAATCCCCGATCTCCTTGCAACATGTGTCAGTTCGTGTGCTGACACGCCTCCATGCCATGCAACGACTGTCGAGAATCTTTTCTCTGGTTGTCTTCCTCTTTCCCTCCTTCCACAGGTCTTCCCAGTGGTCACAACATGTTCCATTTTCCATCTTCTCATAACTTGGCCGAAAAAATGACGACTGTCTCCTTCTGATTGCTGTGATAAGTACTTCTGGCACCCGCCTCTTTCAAAACCTCTTAGTTGCTCGTTTTGGCTTTCCCGGGTATTTTAAGCACCTTATTGTATATACCCTTAATACGCACTCGGTAACATGTCATCTTCTCCCCTTTCTTGGGCCACCATTTTCAGGGTCATGCCATCATAGATTATATGATACGTATTTATGTATTCGCATCATAACTGTATGCTCACATGCACTCCGTAATATAGTCGTTCACTTTAATTCCTTTTTAAGCTTAGAAGCCACTCCTGTGCAATTTATTTTAGGTAATGACTGACAGTAAGTAGATAGGTAGGTAGGTAAGCTGTACTCCACCAGGACATCACACAAGCGATAAACATCAGGTGACAAAAAGTGCCCCTATGCGGATGAGGAAACTCCGACTCTACAAGAGCATCATTTTGCCAGTTCTTCTTTATGGAGTGGAATGCTGGAGAATGACCAAAAAGGATGCACACAAGCTGTCCACCTTCCACTACACATGTCTACGTAGAATTATCAAAATTTTCTGACCAGATACAATCTCAAACACTAAACTACTTCAAGCCACAAACCAAGAAATTTTAGACAGTATGATTACCAAGAGAGGATATGAGAATGACTTCTGATAAACCTGCCAAAACAGCTCTCACATGGACACCAGGGGGAAAGAGAAAACAGAGGCGCCCAAAAACAACATGGAGACGAACGATGGAAAGTGACCTGAGTGCGGCATCTTTGACATGGAAAACTGCACTGAAGATTGCACAGAACATGAAAGCATGGAAAAACCTCTCTGAAGCCTCATGTGCCACTAGGCATAACGTGAACTGATGATGCGGATGAGGATCACCCGTGGAGAGGTCCCGGAAACCTTGTTCAGCAGGCTATATTTAGGGCACCCGGCAAAAGCCTGGGTAGGGCTTCAAAAAAAAAAAAAAAAACTAACAATTGCATCCCACAAGGGGATGGTGAGGATAACTGATAGTAAGTTGTATTGTGTGGTAGTTAAGATTGAGATATAAACAGATAATTCTGTGACAAAAAAAAAAAAAAAATGCTAGAATATGAAACATGTATGTATTCTTTTTAATTTGTCATTGAAGAATATACACAACTACAGATGCTCTAGATTGTAAACTATTTTAAGCAAAACTGGTAAAGAAAGGTTCTTAAGAGTTAACCGCTCGTGTTGAGCATAATTTTAATACACCTTTTTTTTCCTCATTCAAACAGCATCCATGTTTTATTATCTCCCCAGGATTTTAAAGAAAGCTGGTAAACTCGTGGTTCTGAAAATACGGACACATCTGGACTGATGTGCTAGAAATCATTTCTGGCTTCTTCGCCGTTTTTCATAGCAACGCCTCTGTCAACCACAGTCACGTGACCACCTGTGGCGTCAGAATGGTTTCCGTTTTAGACATTAGAGTTTATTGGGTGCAGGGCATTTTAACCCATCTAGCAGTTATGGACTCCGGAAGTTGAGGGCACCCAGGCTATCCTCCGAATAACGGCCCCAAATTATCGAGGCTAAGAAAATACCCTAACAGGGCCTCAGTCATTTGTAAATTGCGGACCTCTTTCCGGCGAATATACCGCCACCGCAGAGAGGGGCTAAACTAGAGGGCTGGGACTCACGAGCAAACAAAATGAAGGAAGCTGCAGGAGATGCGTTAGCTGCTGCTTGTGAGTCCCAGCCATCTAGTTTAGCTACCCCTCCGAGCCGCGCGTAGCGGCGCGGGGGAAAGCCTCGCCGGTGACTTTAACTCGGTGAAGCTTTTCCGCGGTGTGCGGTATAGCCGCCGAAAAAAGGTCCACAATTTACATATGACTGAGGCCCTGTTAGGGTATTTTCTTAGCCTAGATAATTTAGGGCCGTTATTTGGAGGATAGCTGGTACCCACATCTCTCTCTCCCCGACCATGTATATATATATATATATATATATATATATATATATATATATATATATATATATATATATATATATATATAATAATAAGTATGTGTGTACACATTTCATATTATGTCAGACATATTGTTATATTTATTTGCCATTCATCTCATTCCTCTTCGTCTTCGTGTTCACCGGCTGTAAACTCCAGCGGAAAGTTCTGGTTATTCGTCCACTCACTGCCAGCTGAAGAAAGGCCGGTCATGATCCATTAGTGGACTTTAGTCTTGTTCCGTATCTTGAGTTTTGCGCGCACCTTTTTTTACAGGTCAGGATTACTTGTATGCAAATTGTTGACTCCTTGCCTCCCGGCCAGATACACTCCGACCTCAAAAATGAATGTTGAAATAAGAATCGACATCACAGCACTCGGGACACTCCGATAAGTTCTCCGTCTCCATCCTCAGCAGCAAGTGAAGTTTCCAATTCCGATGGCACCAGTAGCCGTCTCATCCTTCCCTGAGTGTTGAGCGTCGGCCACATCCCCTGGTAACTCCTAACAGCGCCCTTTTCCTCAGACCGTAATAATCTATCTGCGCATCCGGACTGTTCACTTGTTCCTACAGGGCTCTGACTTCAAGATAAACACCTCTATGTTAGTCGACTTTTACGGCATGCTTATTGGCAATCGGTCTATTCTTTTCAACCCCAAAATGTGGTCTCGGAACCGGTACGGGGAGCTATTTAGCAAATCAGGGTCATTGTTATTATTTGACACTTTAAAAGGATTAGACCAAGTGAGTATACCTGGACAGTTTGTAAAGAGAAGATACTCGCAGGCATGTCAATAAATAACACACACAGGAGAAATCGAATAGGTGTTACTGTAGTGCTTCTATATCAGAAACAACGCTCCAGCCATACACCAGATTTGTATCCTCTAGACCAGCGTTTCTCAAACTCTTTTTGGCCGCGGCACCCTTGTCGGGCAAAATTTGTTTCGCGGCACACCTACTCTTAAAGCGTTTGAATACTTAGGAAGAAAGAAAGAAAAAACATTGCAGATTTATTGTTCAGTTGTCATAAATGCGATGAATGAAGCTGTTTGGATTAATTTTTAATTATGTCCGTTATGTTTATGTGAAGTTTAGTTAACTGTACCAGCAATCACTTGAAGTTTGCTCCTGTATCTGTTTTTTTTTTTTTTGTGTGTGTACGTAAGCGTATGTTGGGAATACAGTGGAGCCTGGCCGATCGCAATGTTTTCTGAATACACCTGCATCCAAACTCTTCTTGGCTTCCTTCGCGGTGTTTCTGCTTTAAACTGCTGCCTTCGCTGGTCTCAAGCATCCAAACTCTTCTTGGCTTCCTTCGCGGTATTTCTGCTTTAAACTGCTGCCTTCGCTGATCTCAAGCATTTTTTGAAAAATTCTTGATTATTGCCGCGGCACTCCTGACATACGCTAACGGCACCCCTGACATACGCTAATGGCACTCCTGACATACGCTAACGGCACCCCTGGCTTACGCTAACGGCACGCCTGGCATACGCTAATGGCACCACTGGCATACGCTAACGGCACCCCTGTGTGATGACCCTGCTTTGCATGGTCTCCACGAGTACATTGTGGCAAGCAGAAAGCCCGTACAACAAGGGACAGCACGAGATACTTGTGCCTAGTCGAGGAAGCGAGGGAAAGCCCGAGCTAGCCTCGTGGTCAGTCGATCATCAGAAGTCAGAGAAGACGGTGGTAGTATTTGAAGATGTCGTCTTTATGTTGCGCAAATGTTTAATGTTCGAATATGTCGCGAGTGAAATAAATGTGAATAATGTGTTGAACATGTGAAATAAATGGACGAGAATAAACTGACAGAATGTACCAGGAGCTGAGCGGCGTTTTGTGTTGTCACCCTAGATGTTAAAGCTGGTCTACGTCAAGGTTCATTCCAAGTGTAGCATCGACTCATTCCAAGCAGACCACGCTTCATTTCAAGTAGACCAAGATTTATTACACCCTGAATGTCGCCGCACCCAGTTTTAGAACCGCTTAGCTAGGCAGCAGCAGATGTCGCATTAGCTGAAAATTGTTTTTTACGACATCGGACTTAAAAAATAAACGGCCAGATATATTTGTTTTTGTTTCGTGTTTAGTTAGCTGTCTGGTGGGCCGTGAAACAATTTCCCATGTTTTTGGTGAGCTGCGGGTGTAAACAGCTTGAAGAACACTGACTGGGATAAAGAACAAAGGAAGGAGACGGGTATCAAAATTGCTTCGTCACCGCAAACGTTAGAAGACACCGCTTTGCTCGCTTGTCGATCATTATCATTATTATTATTATTATTCTGTGCCATAAATATAATGTTGACATATCTTGTGTGCAATTTCTTAATTGCGTATCATGACCAGATTTGGGCTTCGAGTCCTCGCGGGAAAATTGAAATAACTGACCCGTTGTATAAAGGTAAAGGTAAAGTCGGGAGATGTGAAAAGGCGTCATTGCACACGGTTATAAACCATAAGTGCTCTGCCATCAGTATGGACAGCTGAAAAAAACTGTCCACCTGTGTCGCCGTCTGTACGTAACTCCATAGCTACGGCGACCTTCTTCCATTTACCCCAGAGTGTAAACTCTGGTACCCATTACCTAGAGGCTGGGTGAACCCCGGGAACCGCCTGGTTTCGAACACCGACCGTGGGCTGCAGCGAGTCGCAGCTGGATTTGAAAGCGAGTCTCCTATCAACTGCATCTTGACAACCATGCTGTAAAAAGCAATTATTTGGAGGTTTCAGGAACATGATGTGTTAGGCTAAATAGAGCAGATATCGTAGCCTAGCTTAAAACTGCAATACGACGTGCCAACTTCTATTTTAAGAGTGAACGCAGAAGAAGAAGAACTGTATGCCACTGAGAGATCATCATCAAGTGCCTTGTCAGCTGGCGTAGGCGTTTATGCATTTCCACAGATCTCGGTCTTTGGTGTTCTCGATCAATCCCACTGATGATATTCCTCCATGCCACTGCCTCAAACTATCTACCATCATTTCTCTGGTTCTGCTCTGCATCTTCCAGTAGTCACGATATTTTCCAGTGCTCTTTGTCTCATCACATGACTAAAGAACTTTGTCTCCTTCTCGTTGTTGTATATAATGTTCTACTGTCATTAGCCATTTCCAGGCATTCAATGTTGGTTATTTTGGCAGTCCAAGGTATTCGCAACATTCTCATCAAGAACCACATCTCAGTTGCCTCCAAACTCTTCTTAATACCACAATATCTAGCATGAGAATGGAGATGGAGGTGGTAAATGCAGCTCTCCGGCGGCTAGAGAACAAAGATGCATACACATGTCATTATTGTAACAGACTCTGAAAACATGCTGAGAAAGGTGAAGACAGGGATGCTTCGAGCAGAGTGGCAAACTTCACTGGAAAGGTCACGGGTAGTGACCATACTTTGCATCTTTTTCCAGGATATGCCAGCGGGGTGGGTAATGAACAGGAAGACAGATTGGCTGGATCTGCACCACTGGGTGGTGAATTGATTCAGGACAAGGCAGATGTGGTCAAGGCCCTTTGGGAACAAGCAACGGAATCAGTAGAGAAAGAAGATTATTATGGCCTGGAGAGAATGAGGCACCTGGGTGTAATCAGAGGTTTGGCCGGCTCACTACACTCAGAGGAAAGGCAAGGCTGCTGAAGATGAGGACGGAGCATGCATGAGAATGCCCGAGTGCTGTAATGTCAGTTCTTAACTCAACTAAACTCTTCTTATATTGTTTGCTCAAATTCCAAGATTCACTACCATACACAAGAACAGGCTCGATGTAATCTTTCAGCGCTCGTTTTAATGGTGTATTGAGAGTGATCTATTACATAAGATACTCTTAATCTTTTGAAATGTTACCTTTGCCTGGCCAATTCTGCTCTTAATTTCTGTCACATATCGTCCATTTGATGTTATGAGAGATTCATTTATTAATAATGTATTTCAGGACTTTTAATTAATGTTTATTCTGCCAGCAGTTATTTGGTGTTTCTGTCGACTTAACATTAATGTGTTGTGCTAAAATAATTACCGTATAATTATTTCTCATTTTTATTAAATAAGAATGCCCCCCCCCCCCCCCCACTGTTTTCCGTCTTCCCGGCAATAAAATATATACAATGTTTATCTACCAAGTCGTTTGTGTTTATTTATTGTCAAACTTATTCCTTCTAATTCAACCCCTCACCAACCCTTTACCCTTTTCAGCAGTCTCTCCGCGCTCTCTCACTCTCTCTCTCTCTCTCGCTCTCTCTCTCTCTCTATCTCCCCTCTCTCATTCTTCTTGCTTGCTTGTGTAAGTATGCTGTCCAGCCGATTGAGGTGTGATGGTAATGAGGAGGCAGACAGACTGGCTGCTGTAGCTCTTTTGGGTCGTGAGTTACTTTATGATAAAGCAGACAGGGGTGACTCTCTCTGTGGTCAAGTGGACACTGCAACAGAACAGACCGAGTATCCATACATTGACAGACTCATTCAGGTGTCGTTGAGTGGGAGAGGGGTGGAGTTTGAGCAGATAGTCTGGGCGATATTTAACACTGAGGGGAAAATATAGACGAACTTTAAATCAGGTTGCAGCTGGTACTATTCGTATATCGACTCTTCTTTGGCTACTGAGGAAGGGGACGCAGCACGTGTGGGAATGTCCCGAGCGCAGGGATATCAATTTCTTGAATCATTCATTCATTCATCGATAGTGAAAAGGGACCTGTTCACGTTACCCGACCTATCTACACACTTTCTCAGTCTGATCTAGGTCAGAGGTGTCACGTTGTACTGCTTTCTCTAAAAAGAGCCTCTCGTGTGACCTAGGCTCAGGTTGTGGGTAGGGAGGTTTGGATTAGGGCTAGTTCTAGATGTTCTTGGTCTTTGAAAGCTGTGTCGTTGTGTATTATAGAACACGCGACATTGGCGCTGATTTAATTGGAGGTATGACAACATGACACCCCTTCGACGTAGAAGAGCCTGAGAAAATTTGAATGAAAAGTCAAGACAGTACCTAAATGGGCCGCGAAACGTGAACAGGACCGTGAGCAGTTAAGTCACTGGGTGTCAATGTTTCGGATATCAAATATCGAAGAGCCAACAATAAAGACACACATACACAGACACAATTATTTCCAGATTCGTGCAACCGTTCATATTGTCTCTACTCTAACACACACACTCATGCACACGCGCGCGCACATTCACGCAGACGCACACAAAAACATGAAGTGATGCAAACGTATTGACGTACAAGTACTGCAGTGTCGACCTCCATGACAGACCCGCCTCTGTAGCAAAAGTGCAAAGGTCGAGACCCTTGGCAAGCAGACGGCATCAGTGTGTTCTGCTTGATGTAGGTTGACTTGTCTACTGAGTTTACCGGCACCAAACTCGGAACTTTGCGCGACTTTTAAAGATAACAACAAAGTAAAATCTTTCAACCTTCATTAAAAGAAAAAAGTTATGACCTTGCGAATTAACTTACTTTATTAATAACGCGCAGCATTTCCATTTTGTTGCGATATAGGTCTGTGTGTAACAATGCCGTTCCATTATTTATGTTTCTAGGGTTGTCGATTGTTGTACAGTATTTTACAAATCAAAATGTCAAAATAATCTAGAAATTATACATGTTGTAACAGTGCTATTGACAAAAAATAATATCCTATTCAATTCGTGGGACTATAACTGTGATAAATAACCTAGGACTAGTATTCATTGTATTTCCAGTGTATATATTATTTTTTTTTAAATTCATATTCTATAATCAATGATTTATTCATTTTATTAGGTTAAAAATTGTTTGTAGTGCTTTTCAGTTGCGTATTATTTATGTCACGTTGCAAGTCAACATTCGCCTTTTCTCAGTGTAGGTTTCAGTGTCTCCCCCCCCCCCACCCCACCCCACTTTTGCAACCCTTTTGGGAAGAAAACAAGACCCACCTCTATCGTAACAAGTATGTATTTTGTAAAAGTGGTCTAATGAGGTGTGTTTCTATTGAAGTTGAAGTGCATCTGCCTGAGAGGCAAGGAACCAGCAGTCTGCAATCAAATAAGACAGACTTGTAAACCTTATATGCACCCAAAACTGAAGTTTTGAAACAAGACCAAAGTCCAGACGTGGACAAAAAGCCGGAACATTCCGCTTGAGTTTACAGTTGGTGAATGCTAAGAAGAAAAAGAAGAAATGCAATATAGTGTATATTTTATAACACATGCATATTTCATCCTCACATATTCCCCAGTGTGGGTTCCGCGGCACCATTGTAGGGAAAACAAGAAGAAACCCACTGCCTCCCCAAAAAGCATGTTGTAAGTGTCAACTAACTGGGGAGCCGGCTAGACCCTCTCGTTTAGAATATGACTAGAATGCTTAAATTGTGAGCCTAAACCAGGTCCAAATAGGAAAAAGAGGCAGAAAATAAAAGAGAGAAAACACAAGAATTTCAGATTCCTGGAGTTTTATTAGAAGGGGACACTTCTTCCAAACAATGACATCTCCTTCTCCTCCCTTCTCATTACAATCCTAATAGACACTCACCTTTTCTCAGCAGTGTAATAAAGAAGGTTAAATTTTCATTTATTTTATCTAATTGCTTTTGTATTGATGTATTTGGGTATTAAGCAGTGTTGAAGTTATTTTATACAACCCCATTTCATTGGCACCTTTGTTATATTGCGCTATGAGAAGGTATAGACCCACAGCATATGGCAGTGGCGAGTGTGACTAGCAAGACCTACCAATGTATATTATGCCAATAACGATAGGAATTGTTTTCAATGGAGACGGATTAATCATTATCCATTTTTTTTCTTATAGGAACATTCCTTTAGTATATGTTCTGTCTTGTATTAGTCCCAGGATCTGGATATCATTAAGGATGTTTACTGAAGTACCACTGTATTAGTTTTAGTTTCTTCATTAATTAAATTCACAATAGGAAAAGATTGATTTGAACATGCCTCTATGACATATGTCAGCATCTGTGGCTTAGCCTTTGTGAATGCACTTTGTAATGCCGGGGTACCAGGTTCGATCCCAGCGGAGGACGATTTATCTTGTGTTAGTTTCAACAGTAGTACTGAGAGCTGACAGTTCAGGAAGCACTGGCAATTTAATGAATTCAAAATTTGGCTAGAAAAACAACAACAGCTGAAAACATGCTGGGGTTGGTTCTGCAATGTCCTGTAAAGGATACGCAACTAACTAAGTATAAAGTTAAAAAAATAAAAGTAAAAGTCCTTTTTCCATGTCTTTAGGTGTATACGGCATATAGGGCTAGACCTATATTTTTATAGACCAATCGGCACAAGATGGGTGATGTAGTCAGCATCAGGCCGGCCACCTTTAATTTCCCGGGACTGCACCTGGTACCCACTCAAGGCTGGGTTGACCTGGTAGTCAAGGTCATTTTTAAAAAAGTCCCGCTCCGCCAGGGAGCAAACCCACGACCTTCCAATCAGCACGCGAGGGTCTAACTGCTATGCCATGGCGACTCCCCCTAGGTACCTATAATATATACATAATGTATTGTTTTTCTGCACAGGGTTGAAGATGCTGTGCTTGCTGACTGCTGTCCCTATAGTGGCTCTTATTGCTTTCGTTGTATTTCTGATTGCCCTTGCAAGATCAGATGGGGACTTACAGCTCATGTTTAAAACCAAATTTGGAAAGCCGCCTGGTAATTATACATATATACATAATTACCAGGTAACCAAACTGCCTACCTGCCTATTTACATATACACACATATATACATAATGAGACTTGGGCATTGCAAGTCTGACTCGTAATTCCAACACACCGCAATCGAAACCCACTGCTGGCTACGTGGATTGTTATCATAGTACGAGACATCGCAGGTCTACCCAGCCTAAAATGGGTACCACAGTGTGTGTCCTGGGGAACGAACGAACGAACTTTATTTTCAAAGGGTCACAAATTGGGCATGCAGGCCCGTCTTACATTCGGCCCTTCCAGTCAACCATCTTTTGCACAGCAGTTGTATTTTACTAATAAAGCATGTTATGATCATATGATGTTATGCATATTATGAATATTATTAAAGAACACAAAAGCATGAGTTGTAAAGTGCATGCAAAAACCCGCGCGTGCATACATACACCCGCATACACACGCTCACCCACTCACTTACACACACAAACGTGCATGCATACATTACATACATACATACACAGATACATATAAACAAACATGCATACACACATACACACAGGCATATGTACACACAAACATACATACATAGATACAAACATACAGGCATACATACATACATTCATACAGACATACGTAATACAGGCATACACACATACAGTCGTAAATCCAGTCATGCATGGAGACACACACATGCACACACGGACACTCCCACAGAGACACAAACACTCAGACAAAAATACAGACACACACACAGACACTTACATATAAACACACACAGGGAAACACACAGCACATATATTTACATTCGTGCTCGATTTATTTAATTTAGAAGCCACAAATTTAGTTTTTGCAGATAGCCTGACATGGACAGTTCTATCCTCTAATTTCTTGCGGACAGTGAAACATGCAAAGTTTTATCCATTCATTTATTGCAGACAGACTGACAGGAAAGGTTCGTGGAGCTTCCAGTAGTATTGGTGAACACATTGCTTACCGCTTGGCCAAGGCCTGCTGTTGTCAGGTCTGCTCCGCAAGAAGAGCAGAGGAACTTGAAAAAAGTCAGACAGAAGCATGCATAGTTTTATCCATTGATTTATTGCAGATAGTCTGGCAGGGAAAGTTTTATCCATTCATTTTTTGCAGATAGACTAGCATAGAAAGTGTTGTCCATTCCTTTCTTGCAGACACTCTGACATGGACAGTTTTATCCATTTCTTTCTTACAGACAGTCTTGCAGGGAAGGTTTTTCCCCATTCATTTCTTGCAGACAGTCTGACATAGACAGTTTTATCAAAATATTTCTTGCAGACAGTCTGGCAGGGAAAGTTGTATCCATTTATTTCTTGCAAACAGTCTTACATTGACAGTTTTATCCTTTAATTTCTTGCAGACAGTCTGACATGGACATTTTTATATTTTTAATTTCTTGCAGTCTGACATGGACAGTTTTGTACTTCAATTTCTTGCAGACAGTCTTACATAGACAGTTTTATACTTTAATTTCTTGCAGACAGTCTTTCATAGACAGTTTTATCCTTTCTTTTCTTGCAGGCAGTCTGACATGGAGATTTTTATCCATTCCTTTCTTGCAGACAGTCTAACATGGACAGTTTTATAGTTTAATTTCTTGCAGACAGTCTGACATGGACAGTTTTATACTTTAATTTCTTGCAGTCATTCTGACATGGACAGTTTATACTTCAATTTCTTGCAGACAGTCTGACATGGACAGTTTATACTTAAATTTCTTGCAGACAGTCTGACATGGACAGTTTATACTTCAATTTCTTGCAGACAGTCTGACATGGACAGTTTATACTTCAGTTTCTTGCAAACAGTCTTACATGGACAGTTTTATAGTCTAATTTCTTGCAGACAGTCTGACATGGACAGTTTTATAGTTTAATTTCTTGCAGACAGTCTTACATGGACAGTTTTATACTTCAATTTCTTGCAGACAGTCTGACATGGACAGTTTATACTTCAATTTCTTGCAGACAGTCTGACATGGACAGTTTATACTTCAATTTCTTGCAGACAGTCTGACATGGACAGTTTATACTTCAATTTCTTGCAGACAGTCTGACATGGACAGTTTATACTTCAGTTTCTTGCAAACAGTCTTACATGGACAGTTTTATAGTCTAATTTCTTGCAGACAGTCTGACATGGACAGTTTTATAGTTTAATTTCTTGCGGACAGTCTTACATGGACAGTTTTATACTTCAATTTCTTGCAGACAGTCTGACATGGTCAGTTTATACTTCAATTTCTTGCAGACAGTCTGACATGGACAGTTTTTACTTCAATTTCTTGCAGACAGTCTTACATGGACAGTTTATAATTCAATTTCTTGCAGACAGTCTGACATGGACAGTTTATACTTTAATTTCTTGCAGACAGTCTGACATGGACAGTTTATACTTCAATTTCTTGCAGACAGTCTGACATGGACAGTTTTATACTTTAATTTCTTGCAGACAGTCTTACATGGACAGTTTTATACTTCAATTTCTTGCAGACAGTCTGACATGGTCAGTTTATACTTCAATTTCTTGCAGACAGTCTGACATGGACAGTTTATACTTCAATTTCTTGCAGACAGTCTTACATGGACAGTTTATAATTCAATTTCTTGCAGACAGTCTGACATGGACAGTTTATACTTCAATTTCTTGCAGACAGTCTGACATGGACAGTTTTATAGTTTAATTTCTTGCAGACAGTCTGACATGAACAGTTTTATAGTTTAATTTCTTGCAGACAGTCTGACATGAACAGTTTTATAGTTTAATTTCTTGCAGACAGTCTGACATGGACAGTTTTATACTTCAATTTCTTGCAGACAGTCTGACATGGACAGTTTATACTTCAATTTCTTGCAGACAGTCTGACATGGACAGTTTATACTTCAATTTCTTGCAGACAGTCTTACATGGACAGTTTATACTTCAATTTATTGCAGACAGTCTAGCAGGGAAAGTTGTGTGGATCACTGGAGCATCCAGTGGTATTGGTGAACATATAGCTTACTGCTTGGCAAAAGCAGGGTGTAGGCTGGTCCTCTCTGCAAGAAGAACAGAAGAACTTGAAAGAGTCAAACAGAAATGTCTGCAAATAAGTAAGTTGTGTGCAGTTTTTGAAGTTGTTTGTCAGTACAGAAGAGCGAATACATTGCAGAACGAGCAGATCTAAGAACAACACTGTTTTAATGGATACTCTGACAGCTGCTTCTTGGTTATAATATGTTTTAATTAAATGGATACAATGATTTGGAAATAAATTGGATGGATTTGCCATAAATCTTTAATAATTAACATATCAAGAAAAGATATAAAATGGAACGAAAAGTATATTAGCAAGCTTCTCAATATAACAAAAACAAACAAAATGTGAACATTGCAGCTATGGAGCCTTCATCAGCACATACACAAATCAAACAATACCACACAAATACATAAAATCACTAGCTGTTATCTCTAAACAGCCGGGTTGATGACTTCTCAGCAGACTGCCGACGCACGTGGGCCAGGAGAATAAATATATTAAAATTAACATATACACATATAAAAAGAAAAAATTCGTTGATATGCATGGTTGTCTGTTAGCAAGCTGAGATCTGATGTAGATAACCATAAAATGTGGCTTCACTAATCTCTCCACTTTGAAATGGTACCATAAAATGTGGCTTCACTAATTTCTCCACCTTGAAAGGGTATCATAACATGTGGCTTCACTAATCTCTCCACCTTGAAATGGTACCATAAAATGTGGCTTCACTCATCTCTCCACCTTGAAATGGTACCATCAAATGTGGCTTCACTCATCTCTCCACCTTGAAATGGTACCATCAAATGTGGCTTCACTCATCTCTCCACCTTGAAATGGTACCATCAAATGTGGCTTCACTCATCTCTCCACCTTGAAATGGTACCATCAAATGTGGCTTCACTCATCTCTCCACCTTGAAATGGTGGGGGTTTGTGTGTTCTAATGACCCCCAGATTAATGCTGGCTATAGTATAGCTAAATTTTATGCAATAAATCCATGTCATTGGAAGTTAAGAATTGGACAATGACCAAAAAAGATGTAAACAAGCTGTCCACCTTCCACCACACGTGTTTACATAGAATTATCAAAATTTTCTGGCCAGACACAATCTCAGACACTAAACTACTTCAAGTCACAAACCAAGAAACTCTAGACAGTATGATTACCAAGAGAAGATGGAAATGGCTTGGCCACGTTATGAGAATGAATCCTGAAATACCTGCCAAAACAGCTCTCACATGGATACCAGTGGGAAAGAGAGAAAAGGGGTGCCCAAAACAACATGGAGACGAACGATGGAAAGTGACTTGAGTGTGGCATCTTTGACACGGAAAACTGCATTGAAGATTGCACAGGACAGGAAAGCATGGAAAGTCCTCTCTGAAGCCTCATGTGCCACTAGGCATAACGAGAACTGATGATGATTGGAAGTTGAGAAAAGATTTATAGCATGCTACATAGAGCCAGTTTTAATGTACGCCTGTGAATCCTGGACAATTAATAAAAAAGTCTGACAATTTCTTGAGGCCTCAGAGATGTGTGTTTACAAAAGAATTCCTACAATACCCTTGAAAGCCAAAAAGGAGCAACACATATGTTTCGAAAGAGGTCAGAGCTTTGAGACAACTTACCACAAACATCAGAAAGAGACATTCATGATTTTTTAGTCATGTTATGTTTAAAAAAAGTCGTGGTTTCAGGTCCTGGCAGAACCGGACTTTTTTCAGGAATAACATTGTCTGCCAGTCGACCCAGCCTTAAATGGCTACTAGAAACAGTCCTGGGAAGTAAAGGCAGTCAGAGTGATGTTGACCACATCACCCACTGAGTGCTGATTGGTCCATGAGATATAGGTCTAGTCCTGTAAGCTCAAAATGCCTGAATGCTCGGAAAAGGGTCCATTACTTTACTTGATATTGTAGTTTTATTTCTGTTGACTTCAGATGTAATGCCCCCCCCCCCCCCCCGCCCCCTAAGTGGGGGTTCTAGGGCCATATTACAGGGAAAACAAGAATAGACCCACTGCCTACCCAAAAGCATGTCATAAGATTCGACTAATTGGGAGCTTCCTTCGAAGTCGGAGTGCATATGCCTGAGAGGCAAGGAACCAACAGTCTGCACACAAATGCGTCAGAAATGTAAAACGGATGCACATGCAACACTCAGGTTCTGGAACAGGACTGCAGTCCAGAAGTGGACGAACAACTGCAACTTTCCACCAGAGTATACAGCTGGTGAACGCAAAGAAGAAGAAGAAGATGTAATGCTTTTTGTAAGAAAAACTAATATAAGCACGTAGCTCTCATCAAAGATGCAAAGTTAGTTGTCTGAGTATGGGATGCAGAAGTGCTGAACCACATCTGGTAGTGCCTCAGGGCACGGGCTAAGACTGGTCAAGAGCTGCCTGTACCTTTCCGTGGTCATCCTAAAATAGACTGCCTGTCAGAAGCCTGTTTGAAGCCTCTCAGAAGCCTGTCGGAAGCCTGTCAGAAGCCTGTCGGAAGCCTGTCAGAAGCCTGTCGGAAGCCTGAAGAACGTAGATAGGACTGACGTTTCCTTAATAGTCAGAATGCATCTGCCAGAGAGTTGGGGAACAAGCAGTCTGTACACAAGCCAGATCTAAAATGGATGTGCACACAACACCCAAGTCCTAGAACAAGGGCAAATTTTGAGAAGTGTACGAACAACCAGAACTCTTTACTGGAGTTTACAGCCGGGAACACGAAGAAAAATAAATTGTACTAGTACTGATGAGCAAATATCTTGCAGAACTAGCGGAGACAACACTATTTCAACAGATAATCTGACAGCTGCTTTTTGGTTGTGATATCTTCTTTTGAGTGGATACAATGATTTGGAAACCCTCTGCCCCTGATGATGCTCCATGTATTATGCTTAACATGTATCTGTATATACAAACACACATACAGGCACGCACATACATATACACAAGGAAAAAAAAAACTATAACCTTATTTCTTCTTTTTCTGCCTTTATCCGAAGATCCAAACATGGACACAATCTAAAGCCCATATACGCAAAATCGCCACCTGCGAGATGAGGTGCTTGAGAAAAGCAGCCAACCTAACCATCCGAGATCGAGTGAATAATGAAACTATCAGGCAAATTGTGGGAACGACACCTTGTACTAGATTCATCGAGAAACAGCAGATTAAGTGGTTAGGCCATCTTGTTAGAATGCCGCAAGATCAAATACCATCACAAGCACTACATCTCAGAAGATCAGCTACAAGAGCAAGAGGACGGCCACGGAAAATATGGATTGACAATATTAAAGACACTCTACGCCTTTACGGCATGACGATAACCAGTGGCAGCCAACGTGCACTGGATCACAAATTATTCCTTCCCACGAAGCTTAACGGCAGAAGTGGTTTATGATGATGATGATGAGGATGATGATGATCCGGAGATCTAAATGCCTTGTGCCTGTTTATGACATGGCTGTGATATTTGTGCCTTTTGGCAAACACATGTGACTTCTGCAGTCATCTGTTGCCTTCCTGGAAACCTGATGTTTTTTTTGAATCATATTAGAACAAAAACCAAAATGTGCATTATGATGTATAATTTGTTGTTTAATGTAAACTGATACAGGTGCAGGCAAACTGTCGGAGGATGATATTTTAGTCCTGCCTCTCGATGTTGTTGCCTATGACACCCATAAACCAGCAGTGCAGAAAGTTTTAGAGACATTCAATAAGGTATTTCTATGTCAAAATGGATGTAAATAAGGGGTGACTGAAGTCGTAATATGGCCCTTTCTGTCCATATCCCCCACCATTACATATTTGTTGGTTTTTGTTGTCTTTGGTTGTTTAGAAGCTCTGTTATCCTGTCCATTGAGTTGTCCAGTCACAGTTTGTGTTGTAGTTAGTACTCCATTGATAAAGAATTTCTTCAAAACATTCTGTTGTATTTGTGCTTCAAGGAACATTGGGTGCGGTAAAAGAAGAGGAGTGCAAAGAAGGATTTGGAATGACAACATCAAGAAATGGACAGGACTAAGTTATCATACACTTATTCATCAAGCGGAAGACAGAGAAAGATGGCGGGTTTTATGTGCTAGTGCTTCTATCAGTAAACCTCCACGACTATAACAGGTCAAGAATTAGGTTATGTTATGTTATTTGTATGTCTTCTTTTCCATTCCTTTCGTTGAGCTTTCTAGACATGTCTGAACAAAGCTAGAGCTGCTTTAGGAAGGATGAGGCAAATCTGGAAATCCAACAATTACTGCAGAGGAATGAAACTCCGACTCTACAAGAGCATCATTTTGCCAGTACTTCTTTATGGAGCAGAATGCTGGAGAATGACCAAAAAGGATGCACACAAGCTGTCCACCTTCAACCACACATGTTTACATAGAATTATCAAAATTTTCTGGCCAGTTACAATCTCAAACACTGAACTACTTCAAGCCACAAACCAAGAAACTTTAGACAGTATGATTACCAAGAGAAGATGGAAATGGCTTGGCCATGTTATGAGAATGACTTCTGATATACCTGCCAAAACAGCTCTCACATGGACACCAGGGGGAAAGAGAAAATAGGGGCGCCCAAAAACAACATGGAGACGAACGATGGAAAGTGACCTGAGTGCAGCATCTTTGACATGGAAAACTGCAATAAAGATTGCACAGGACAGGAAAGCATGGAAAGTCCTCTATTAAGCCTCATGTGCCACTAGGCATAACGAGAAATGATGATGATGTATGTGTCGTTTTTTTTCTCCTCTTAAAGGGGAGCCCCAGAATCCACACAGGCAATCTTTTCACTCAGACAACAAGGGCCCTGCTATGGGGGCAGGGGGATTATTGACCTACTGCCCCCTGGACAAGCATGTCATAAAAGTCTACTGTTTGTGGGTGGTTCCTTCAAAGTCTGATTGCAGCTGCCTGAGTGGTGAAGAACCAACAGTCTTACGTAGTTCTGGAACAAAACTTGAGTCCAGAAGTAAACGGGAGTCGCCGTGGCATAGCGGCTAGACCTTCACGTGTGGATCGGAAGGTTGTGGGTTCGCTCCCTGGCGGAGCAGGACTTTTTAAATAAAATATCTTCAACTCCCAGGTTGACCCAGCCTTGAGTGGGTACCGGCTGCAGTCCCGGAAAGTAAAGGTAGCCTGTGTGATGCTGACCACTTCACCCATCTTATGCTGATTGGTCTATAAAAATATAGGTCTAGCCCTATATGCCTAAAGGCGGGGAAAAGGGACCTTTACTTTTTACTACTTTTACAGAAGTAAACAAACGGCCAGAACTTTCTGCTAAAGTTTACCTCTGGTGAATGGAAAGAAAGAACAAGAAAAAGACTTCTCTCTCACGCAAACCCCCACCCCCTTCTTTTCCCCCACAAACAAACACACACATTTTATATTCCACAGATAGATATTCTTGTGAACAATGCAGGAAGGGGTCAGCGAGCTCTGTGGTTGGATGTTGACTTGAGTGTAGACCGTGAACTGTTTGAGATCAATGTCCTTGGACCAGTATCCTTGACTCAGGAGGTGCTGCCACACATGATACAGCGGAAACAAGGTCATGTTGTTGTTGTGAGCAGTGTGGCCGGAAAACTTGGTAAGTAGTTTGAATCTTTTAAAATTTTGTCATGATTAAGTGCCTTGCCGAATGGCAAGGACGATTATCCTTTTTAGGGTTAAAGAGCAAGATAGGTCTAACAAAAAAAATTTCTTTTCAGAAGATTAAAATTATCTTGTGTAAATTTATATTTAAACTGCAGTTTTAAAGAAGCATTAGTCTTTTTATTTTTGCAGTACAGCCTAGTTAACACAGATGCCAGAGGATCAAAACACTGAGTTTGTTTTTAAAAAATATATGCTAATCAGGGACTAATAATTGTAATAGATTCCTGCTGGGACCCAGATTTTGTTCATGTAACCAGGTGTTCGTCTTTACTCTTTATTCTTTTTCACATTTAGCGTCTGTAAACTTCTATTCGTTCGTACACATGTGGACTTTAGTCCTGTTCCGGGAGCTGCGTGGTCTCGACGCATGGTGTCCACCTCAAGTGCTAGAGGTTCCGGGTTGAATCCCCGGTAAGGGCTGGGATTTTTTCACGTGGACTTCAAATAATTCCCCCTGGTCTCTGGGTAGTGAGATTTGAGGCAGGTGTGCATTGATGTGCACGTAAAAAATTCGCTGGCAGTTGGAAATCGAAAAGAGTAGACTAATAGCACTGCCTTGGCAAAATTTCAAGTTTAAAATCTACCCAAAGTATTTCAGGATCCTCGTCAGGCGCTACAGAGCCTGTGCACTGTGCTGAGCTTCTTCAGACTCAGACTTGAGTTAGAAGAAGAACGGAGCACTTACGGGTTACTACCATGATTTTGATCCGTTGTTCAAAACCGCAAACCTCAGTCCTGTTCCAGAACCTGAGTGTTGCATGGACATTTGATTTAAAGATCTGGCTTATTTGTATGCAGACAGTTGGTTCTTTGCCTCTCAGGCAGATGCACTCTGACTTTGAAGAAAACCCCCAATTAGTTCACTTCTATAAACATGCTTGTTGGGGAGGCAGTGGGTCTATTCTTGTTTTCCCCATAATAAGGCCCTGGAACCCACACAAGGATATGTGTTTTAGTAACAGACATGTTTTACAGGAGATACCAAAGTGATAAAATAATCATGACAGCTTTACTTTCAACATGGCCATATATATAGTTATAGTGACCATGCAATACATCAAGATCTTGAAACCCAGGCCTTACAAGTTCAAGTGGATCAGTAACAGTTTTGATGGTTGGGACATGTGTGCATAATGGGAGAAAACGGTCACCATGGCAGGCATGAGAGGCTGAGAACCAGGTAACCAGACTGGCAATCTGGCAAACCTCCACTCCCCGCAAGGTAGATGAGGAGTGACTAGGTAAAGTATGTAGTCACCTCTGGGGCAAGCCAGATTTCTCTAATATGTTCTGACCAATGGATGGTGAAAGTAGGAGAGTGCTTTATGCTATTTAGAAGAATCAAGGAGTAAATTCATTCACATACCAGGCATTACTTGAGACTGAAAGAGTTCAGTGAGTTTGTGATAACAAGGTACATACTTATGAGTAGTAATAATAGCAAGAGGTGAAAGAAAAGATAAAGGTCCATAGGTGCATTGGGCATATTAGGCCAGGCTCATATGTTATAAGCCAACTGGCTCTCGATGCATCATGTGATCACGTCTTTACCTAGTATCATTTAAGTTGGGTCGACTGAGGAGCAAAGGTTATGCTTGAAAAAAATCTAGCATCATGCGGATTTGAACCCACGAACTTTGGACCTGCAGGCAAGCATCTACCCGCTATACCGTAGCTGCTCTCCTAGTGAGAGTAGTTATAAGCATATTCACATTGATGCAGTATCTCAACACTGTCTCTGGTATATCAACAGGGGCCGCCACCTTCAGATCATATGTTGGATCTAAGCATGCCATTCATGTAAGTATTTTGTTGTTGTGGTGCTGGGTTGATCCTCACAAATGTTGATTTGGCATCATAATGGTGCTACAGCATTTATTATAGGCAAAGCCACAGGAATTAACCATGCTCTTTCGATTGCTACTTTAAAAAAAATTAATTTATAATTATTTAGTTCTTTAGTTTCAACTTTTTAAAAATAATTTTTGAATTATTTAGTTTTTCAGTTAAATAATATAACACAAAATTTGCTTTTGTTTCAATATTGTCTTGTCATTAACGATAAGTTTGTTATCAAGATTTTTAAAACAGTTTCTTGGGTCCATTTCCCCGCAAATGTCATTTTTCCAACTTGTCTTTAGTGACCAGTTTTTGAGATGTATAGTTAATATTATTGGCTATTTTTGTGCCTGTGTAAACATTTAGGAGGTCAAGATATGAATGTATTTACTAAAAATAGCATTTAGCAGGGTTCTCCTTTGAGCATTTTTAAGCCGTTGTCATATTGTTCCATAAGCCTCAGTGGTAGAGGTCACAGCATAAGTCATCTGATACGTTTTTTTTAAGACTCTGGTGGATGTGTGGCATTTAATGTTTCACCCTGTTTGAATGTTGAATTAAGAACGGACATCGCAGCACTCGGGACAATCCCATCAGTGCTCAGTCCCCATCTTCAGCAGCAAGAGAAGAGTTCCAATTGTGATGATACCAGTAACTGTCTGATTGTATATCCCTCTCATCCTTCCCCTGAGCGTCTGCCAGATCCCGTGGTAACCTTTCGCAGGGCCATCCTTCTTAGACTGTAATGATCTGTCTGCGCCTCCGCACTGTTTACTCGTTCCCAAAGGGACCTCACAATACCTACCTTTATATTAGTACAATTGTTCTTTTAACTAATCTTTTTTGGACTTCCAGCGGGGTCATAACTCTTTAATTTGTTAGTGTTTCAGGGGCCAACAATTATAACCAAGAGTGACAGCATGAAAATATTTCAGATGTTTGCACTCCAGAGTAACAATGGGAATCTTGGTAAAGTGGCTAAGCTGTTTCCCTCATAATCTAAAGGTTTTGGGTTAATTTTTAGACTTCACTGGCTTATCCAGGCCCAGATCAAACGTGAACTCTTACATCCTCCAATGAACGTAAAATTATGTCAACAGAGATGAAATGCCTTAGAAGAGCTGCAGGAGTTTCAAGGAAAGACAGAATACAAAATCAGACGAATGCTAGGAATAAAGCCAGTCTTACAGGTCATCAAAGAACAACAAATGAAGTGGTTTGGACACCTTACAAGAATGGCCTGGTACTATCTGCCACAGCAAGACACATTAAAATGTTACAACGGGTATAGATTGAATGGAAGACCTCAAAAAATATGGAGTGATGGCGTTAAGAACAGCCTTACATAAATGAACATCAGACTTAATAGTACTCTTGACAGAGCTAATGTTAACGAATGTTACATCTCCCCCCGACACTTCGATGAGGTACAAGGTGGAAGAGATGGAGTGATGGCATTAAGAACAGCCTTACAGAAATGAACATCAGTCTTAATAGTGCTCTTGACAGAGCTCATCAACGAATGTTACATCTCCCCCCGACACTTCGATGAGGTACAAGGTGGAAGAGAAGAAGAAGAAGACTGGCTTATTAGTGCATTTGTTTAAGATATTTCTAGGAGTTGTCACTGGAGGTTCAGAGTTTGTTCTTTTTGCGATGATGTTTGCAGTTGGCAGCAAATCTGTGGAGAGAGTGCGCCAGATGATATAAAACTGTGTACAGTTTAGTAAATTATCTCATTGTTAAACCTGTGTAATTTTTTTCCTGTTAGTATGTTTATTTTTTATTTCAGGGTTACTTTGAAAGTCTTCGGACAGAAATGTATGAACATAATATCGATGTGACCCTAGTATGTCCCGGTCCGGTAGTCTCCAACATGGCACGGGCGTTTGTCACCGGAAAACCAGGGGAGGTAAATACACATCTTTTTTGTCAACTTTTTCATATTAGGTTAACTTTTTGTAGAATTAGGTCAACTTTTTGGTAATGTTAGGTCAACTTATGGTAGTGTTAGGTCAACTGTTAGTAGTATTAGGTCAACTTTTGGAAATGTTGGGTCAACTTATAATAGTGTTAGGTTAGCTTTAGGAGCTGCTGGTCGAGTGGTTAGAGCAATGTGTTCTCACTTTGAAAGTCTTCGGACAGAAATGTATGAACATAATATCGATGTGACCCTAGTATGTCCCGGTCCGGTAGTCTCCAACATGGCACGGGCGTTTGTCACCGGAAAACCAGGGAAGGTAAATACACATCTTTTTTGTCAACTTTTTCATATTAGGTTAACTTTTTGTAGAATTAGGTCAACTTTTTGGTAATGTTAGGTCAACTTATGGTAGTGTTAGGTCAACTGTTAGTAGTATTAGGTTAACTTTTGGAAATGTTGGGTCAACTTATAATAGTGTTAGGTTAGCTTTAGGAGCTGCTGGTCGAGTGGTTAGAGCAATGGGTTCTCACTTTGAAAGTCTTCGGACAGAAATGTATGAACATAATATCGATGTGACCCTAGTATGTCCCGGTCCGGTAGTCTCCAACATGGCACGGGCGTTTGTCACCGGAAAACCAGAGGAGGTAAATACACATCTTTTTGGTCAACTTTTAGGTCAGCTGTTTGTAGTATTAGGTCAACTTTTGGACAGTACAACAATACAGACCGAGTATCCGTACATTCACAGCTGAATACAGCGGTGGGTGAGTAGAGGTTCAACGCTGAGGGAAAAGCATAGACTGACTTTAAATCAGGTTGCAGCTGATACTATTAGCATATCGACTGTTTGTTGGCAGCTGAGGAAAAAGACGGAGCACAAGTGGGAATGCCCAGAGTGCAGGGATGTCACGTCTTGGTTCTTTCATTCATTCATATAGTACTTTAAAGAAAGTATGGTAGCACAGTTCATCCTGAATTGACACTTTCTGTAAATTGCAGCAGGTTCGCATTGGCTCTGAATAACTTATTTGCAGATCTGGCCAATATTTCTGTCTAAGAACAGGACACTGCAGGCTCATCTACTACGCGCATAAAATAAAGTCTGTTTAATATCCACCATGTCAGTCTGGACAGGAACACATTCTGCTGCAGGCCCTCCCATTATACTTGCAACTACGAAGAGCAACCTGGCCTCAAGAGCAAGTGTGCAGAGCAAGCTATGGAGAACCATGGAGGACCCGCGAGTTCCTAGAGGCAAACAACCTGACGGTCTGACTTGAGCATAAATGGTAAATTGATGCATGACAAGCTAGATTCTGTAAGGGCCCTTTGAGAGTGAGTGTACAGCGCGGAGGCAGAAATAAGATCATCACATCTGAAGAGAATGGTGAAGCGAGAAGTGGTCACAGGATCTGGCCAAAACTCAGGAAAGGGGTAAGACGGGCATACAGTCAGACTGTTACTGGTACTATTTGAATTAGATGGAGCGCTTTTGCTGAGTGCTATTCTGTCTATTCAGAACTAATAACTCATTATTTTTCCTCTTCTGGGCTCAGCCATGTGAAGTAAAAGTGGCATCTTAATCCACTGAATACTGATGGCCTATAAAAAATGTGGCTAGCACCATTTGCCAAGGGTGCAGAAAATGTCCTTCACTGTTGCAGTCACATGTCATAGGAAAGAATAGTTGATGATCTTTGTCTATTCTGGCATCCTTCATGGTCATGCGAAGGGGATTTAAATGGTAACCTTAAAAGTGTGCTAGAAATTACAGTAACTAATGCTTGTTTGTTTTCTGTCAGTATTGTTATTAAGGATGTAATAGTCACTGTTTAAAGATGGCCACCCCACTGTTGACATGCACCAGAGAGGAGCAGCATTTGGTTATCTGTTTTTGATCAGTGAATTGGGTGAAACCTATAGAAATTCATAGGTGAATGAAGGTCAAGTGTGGGGATGCAAGTCTGTCAGTTCAGCAAGTGGATAAGTGGAGTAGGAAATTTCAAATTGGAGTGATTTCTGTAACACTTTACAAACAGGTCAGGCACTCAGAGTAGTGACACTACAGTTGATTGCGGCTGTAATAGGCCATCTACAAAAAAAAAAACTGCTGATTAACTGTCAGTGACATTGCCGCACATCTTGACTCTTGACCTGAGGTCTTTATGAGACTTTTTGTGGTTAAAATCGACACCAAGACACTACTCAATGTGCCTGACTGGGTTTTGAAAACGTTCTTTACTGTTAAATAAAGCGTCATGGCAAAGAATAGTTGGTGATCACTATCTATTCACCAGATTCTCTTCCTAAGACTCGCTTCATCGCCTCTCTAGATAGGAACAGTGTATTGTGTTCAGACTAAGGACTGGGCACAACAGACTTCGTCAACATATGTTCACATTTTTTCGGTGTAAGAAACATGGAGACGTGTCCCTGCAACGTGGCACCTGAAAATGCTGAGCATGTGCTCCAACACTGTCAACTGTATGCTGACAACAGAGATGCAATCTGGCCGGTTCCAACCACAATGAAGACAAAGCCGTATGGTACACGAACAGATATGGGCTTTCATAAAGGCTACCGGCCTCCTGATATACATTTTCTGACAGAAGGATCTAAGAAAAAGAAGACTTCTCTGCATCATTTATGATCATACTTTTTAGGAAGGAGGGGCAAGGGCCGACCAACATGAAGATGGGCACAGGATATAAGTGACTCCTAGAATTATGAAAGTACACAAGGTAGGAAAGCTGGCGAGAGACCGGTTTCTTTGAGGCAGATTGTGATGAGAGTGACATTCTGCGAAGGACATGTTGTATGATGATGATGAATAGTACAGTTTCCTTACTCTTTCAGTATGAAAAGATTTCTCAGTAGATGCTAGAGGAGCAAGGGAAAATGACCCATTAAAAAAACCAATAAGTACATTACTTTCAAAGACTAAATGACAATGGAATGGTCAGATTTTTTAGCATGTTGTAGCCAGATGTAGAGATGCAGCAGGGTGTGATAAGAATGTTGTGGTGGGATTAACTTATTTTGTTCTCTGCAGGTTGTACATGATATCAAGACAACAAGCAAAAGAGTGGCAACCGATCGTTGTGCCTATCTCACATGCGTTGCTGTTGCCAACAAGTTGTATGAGGCTTGGATCTCAGAACATCCTCCCCTGCTTCTGCTGTACACAACTCAGTATTTCCCTGACTTTTCACGATGGTAATCAGTAGCCCGGCTCTTTAGCGTAGCTGGTTAAAGCTGACTTTGCGGCAACCGGGTGACGAACTCCTTGTGGTCCAGGTTCACGCCTGGGGGGTAGGCAGAAAAGCCACATTTCTCCCAGATTTACGGTACCTATCATGGAATCAAGGCCACAGGGTTGCGATATCCATAGTACCAAGCCAAAGGGTTAACAACTCATGGTTTACTTCCTAGGACTTTACCAGTCGACCTAAGAGCTCAAGTAATTTTTTGTTTTTAAAGTCCAGCTCCGTTAAGACCTGAACCCATGACATTAGATGTACATGGGAGCGTCTAGCTGCTACACCACAGCACCTCTCCATTCTGGAGTACTCAGTGGTTACAGTAACCTACTGCTTTGTGTGGCTACATGATGTTGTGAGTCTTAAGGATGATATTGGCAGTGCATCTCTACTTGTTACACTCAAGATAGTTGGTGGATGATTGTTCCATTCCAGGATTGCTGTCTGTACAATTAACACCTCAAGGATGAGAATCCAACATGAGCAAATCCCAGAAAAACTTGTTCACCTGGTCAAAACAGTTAAATTAGGGCACCCTTCTGTTTATGAGGGAGTCGCCATGGCCGAGCAGCTAGACGCTCACCGTGGATCAGAAAGTCGTGGCGGAGCCGGACTTTTAAAAAAAAAAATGACCTTGGCTCCCAGGTCGACCTAGCCTTGAGTGGGTACTGGGTGCAGTCCTGGAAAGTATAGGCGGCTGGCGTGATGCTGACCACATCACCCATCTTGTGCCGATTGGTCTATAAAAATATAGGTCTAGCCCTATACACTTAATGGCATGGAAAAGGGTTCCTTTACTTTACTTTCTGTTTATGAGGCAATCTGATGTCCAATACGGGTATGGGGCATATTTTACAAACATAGCGGGCATATTGTACAAACACCTTATTTTTATAGACCAGGTCACCGTGTGTGTTCCGGGGAAAAAAACAGACCCACTGCCTCCTAAAAAGTAAAGATCCCTTTTCACACCTTTAGGCGCATTCAGGCAAATGGGAAGAGCACCCAAACTTTTAAAGACCATTCGGCACTAGGAAGGTAATGTGGTCAACATAACGCCGGGCGTCTTTACTTTCCCGGGACATACATCCTGATACCCATTTTAGACTGGGTTGACCTGAGACGCCCCACACCACGATAAAAATCTGCGCAGCCAGCAGTGGGTTTCGATCATGGTATATCGGAATTACTAGTCAGACTCACAACACCTAAGCCACTACTGCCTCCTAATATGCAGGTAATAAGAGGTGACTAAGTAGGGGTGTTTTCTTCAGAGTTGAAGGGCATCTGCCTGAGAGGCAAGAAACCAAGAGTCTGCATTTAAGCCAGATCTCTAAAACGGATGAGCACATAAAACTCAAGTTCTGAAACGAGACTAAAATTCAAAAGTGGATGAACAACCAGAACTTTTCCTCTGGAATTTACAGGTGATGAATGCTAAAAAAAAGATAAATCAGCAACTTGGTAGGTGGTGTAGTTGATATCAAATCAGCCTCTTTCATTCTTTTAAAATTTCCTGGTAGCTGTGTTTAGACAGGATCAACCTAGGAATTTTGAAAAATTATCGCCTTCCTGGGAATTTAGATGGCCACCTCCCTGTGTGGGTTCTGAGGCCCCATTGTGGGGAAAGCGAGAATAGACCTACTGGCTTCCCAGCAAGCATCTCGTAGGGGTCAGCTAATTGAGGTCTTCCTTCAAGTGGCAAGGAACAACCAACGGCACACAAATAAGCCAGTTAAATGGATGTGCACGCAAAACTCAGGCCCTGGCACAAAGTCCAAATGGACTTTCTGTTGGAGCTTA